TATATAATCAATTAACTTTCCAGATAACTAAATTATAAATTAATAATTACTAAATTATAAATTAATAATTACTAAATTAATTAATTAATTAATTACTAAATTTATTAATTTATTATTATTTTGCTGAGAAGCAATTATAGCTAATGTCGAAATACGCTTTCGATCAGCCATTTTGTACAACACATATGTAGGCACAACACACATGTAGTATGTCACATTGAGCATTCTTCCATGGCTGTTCGAAAACTCCTCTCGATACCAACTCCACTAACCCCACCAAGCCCATCCACCGCAGCCACTTTCCGTCGTGGACTTTCAGTGTTTTCGAACGCACCCTTGGGCTGCGTTCAGATTTCACACCCGGGTGTATTCTATTACTAGAAGTGCTATTGTATATGTAACATGTACTATAGTATTTCTAGTAATAGAGTGCACCCGGATGAAGAATCTGAATGCACTCTTGGAAGTAAATAGCAAGAAGTAGGAAGTAAGAGTAAGAAATTGACCAACCACAGTCGAATGTGAGAAGAATAATTAACTATGATTGGTTAATTTCTTATTCTTACTTCATACTTTTTACTGTTTACTTCCAATGTAGACGTCCCTTTAACTGTTCCGTTACGCTATTTTTTTCTCCATCTGAACGCGCCTTGATGGCTCCTGCACATAGGACGCGGTAATGCTTGCCGCGCGGCGGAAGTTTGCGCGACAGCCAATCAATATGCTGCTTTCCGTAATAACCTTCAAGTTCTTACGGAAAAACAACATATTCATTGGCTGTCGCGCGAACTTCCGCCGCGCGGCAAGCATTACTGCGTCCTGTGTGCAGGAGCCATAAGTGGGGACGTACTCTTACGGCAATTCGTGTGTGAGATAGCTTGGGTTTGTCGAGTTTTTCATGAGACTAGAACGAATATATTATAAATAACAAACGTACGAAGAGCACAACTTGCCAAAATGAGTTTAAGTCCAGCCACAAAGCAAAGAATAGCCATTGTTTTAAGTGTGAGCAAATTTGCGTTTCAATGGGGTTTTATTCCTACCGTTCTTTATTTAGGTTAGATCTTAAATTGTTTTAACAAAATCATTTTGCCATATGCATGGTAAAACTATAAATTAGAATTAAGAGTTATATTATTTTATTTTTAGGTTTCAGCAAAGGTGCAGATCCAGGCATGCCTCAATTAACTCTTATGAAGTAAGTACTATTAACTACTAAAAAAGTTATTTGAATATATAAAGAAATCCTTTTTTGAACAAATATTTCTTGTAAATAATGAGTTATATAATAATATATCTTTTTCAGTTTATTGTGGCAGTGAGATCTAATTATAAATACTCTCCTATTTTACAAAAATTATGAGTACCATCACAATGTTACATAGATATATCTAACTGAAATATCTATTATATCTATTACGTCATATTTCCCAACAAGCTAATAGTCAAATTATGTATTATGAAATAAATGTGTCACTATGTAATATGTGATAAATATAAAAATAGTAAATAAATATAAAATAAATATGAAAGTAGTAAGTAATTATTGCATTGTTTTAAAAATTACGCAACATTCTTGAAGTATCTAATTTTTGCACATTAAATTTTTACTACTCAGTTTTAGATATCAAAGGTGTGTATGACAAGACTGTGACATATATATTTTAATAGGTTATATGTGAAGTAATATATTAATGCATTAACTATAGTGCTCAAAATTTTACACATGCTGCATGAAGTTATATATTAATATGCTAATTCTTGAAAATAGGATCAGTGCTGTTTTCACTGCATGATGTGATGCTAGTCAAGAATAAGATGTATGATATAACTTTGGAGTCTGGCAATGCATAACAATAAATATTTATTACATATTTTATAAATACAAAGTAATAATTGGTGACAAGAAAATTGCAGAGTAATATGAATTTCAAAGATAAAATGAATATGTTAAGTACATAAATATCTTCAAGTATGATATGAGCAACATCGTTATAAAATAAATAGTCTAAAAATCTGTGTCTTTGAACACCTAGAAAAAATATTCAAGCTGTATTTATAATAAAATAAAAAGGAAATTAATTGTGAAATTATCAAGTGATAGATGTTTCTTTCTTCAAATAAAAAGTAATGTTAATTTTTCTATGAAAACATTTTTTAAATCAAATGCGTTCTAATAACACTGATCGATAAAAAGGCAACTTCTTTTTGGCCTTAAAGGAAATAAAGTTGTTCCAGATAGGTTTTGATTCGCTAATTACGAATGTGACCCCCAAAACGTATCATCAAGTTTTTGAAATATTTAAAGTTTTAATGTTATATCACGTCATGTTTTCTAGATATTTCAACTTAAAGATGCAAAAAATTAAATTTTTGGTCATTTTTAATAATTATAACTATAAAATCTTTAATAATTTTTTCCAGCATTCAGCAAGGTATCATTATTAAAGTGCTATTCTTACCCTTTTCAACACATTAGATTGTTATGTTGCGATTTTTTCGCTGAAAAAAAACAAATTAAAATTATTAATTTTTCAATAACGCAACACTAATTTAGCAATGTTGTGAAAAATAGTAAATGACAACATTTGAAAGGTCAGAATAAATCTATGAAGCTTTGATATATTTATTTTAAATTTTCATTCGTTTCTTTTTCTGAAATTTAATACTTTTACTAAAATTTATGTCTCCCCAGATAGCCATACCTATGCGAGCAGATTTTATGCAGAGTCTGTCAACAGTGTCTGTTGACAGAATGGCAACAGATTGCATACAGAATTTGTTCTGACGACAGATTGGTGACAGACTGCGCGCAGAGTCTGCCGACAGACTTAGACGGTAGATTGGTGGCAGACTGCGCGCAGAGCCTGTCGACAGACTCTGACGATAGATTGACGGCAGATTGCGCGCAGATTCTGTTTCCTAGATGGGCTATTTAATTCTATCAAGGGCCATATGTACGTTATTAAATGGAGCATTTTCACATACACACCATGTAAAACTGCTGCAGAGGTGTCAAAATAATTATATTGTGCAATAATTGTATACATATACACTATAAAAAACAATTTTTACTTTTTAAAATTGTATTACACATTTTTTATAAAAAAGCAACAATAATAGAGAAATAACGAGTACAAGTATAGTACAACGGTTAAATAACCACTTAAAGGCGTATATACATATGCCGTCCCCGATAAAAATTGTTCTCATAATTTTTCATATAATTTCTCATATTATTATTTTTTTAATATCATTATGTCATTAAATCTGAACGATTTAACCGTCATGCAATAAGTACTGAAGGCAGCAGCACCGAATAAAATATTAGTCTCGCCACTTTTACCGAATTTTTGTAATGATTTATTTGAAAATATCTCATGCTTCGATTTTGATAAAATTTAATACAATCCGAACTGGACGATCGATCAAATTAATTCGCACATATAAAAGCACAGAATTTTATTAACATGATAGAAAAATGTCATTATCTGCTATTTTATTGCAGTAATTTTCTATACAATCCTTAGTTGAAAATTAATTTCGAATTATCGTGTCGGTCTCTCTTCTCAGATAGCCAAATCTGCTCAAGCAAATTTTGCCCAACACTTGATTACAAATTTTGCTGTCAAAATGTTATCAAATTGGACACAATATCTGCGAAATCAAAAGTTGTTGGCAAATTGGCGCCAAATACCGAGCAAGGTTTGTGTGACGCAGTTTGACGTCACATTGATGCCAAATACCGAACAAAGCTTGGTGAAATCTAACGCCAAATTGATGCCAAATACGACCGAGGCTTGTGCGGCGCAGTTTGGCGCCAAACTTTGCTAGGTATTTGGCGACAATTTGGCGTCAGATTTTGTCACCAATATAACAATGTTTTATTATACGACAATGTTTTATTATATGAAAATGTTTTATTATATGACAATGTTGTATACAATGTTTTCATACGAAAGTGATGTACTAAAATATATATTTTATTGTAAGCAATACAAAATATGTGTCTATATTCGTGTTTGCATTAGACAAGCTTGACACTTCTTTAATTACCCCTGATTAATAGCATAAAAACGAGACATATGCAAAACAAATGTATCATATTCGAAAAACATTAATTACATACCCTAAGGCAAAAAAAAAAACACAAGGATAACTTCGTCGCCCGGTTTCGTCGCTCGCTTCCAGCTCAAAAATTTTCGACGTGGGAGCCTCATGGCTCCTGCACACAGGACGCGATAATGCTTGCCGCGTGGCAGAAGTCCACGCGATAGCCAATCAATATGTTGTTTTTCCGTAAGAGCTAGAAGGTTATTACGGAAAGCAACATATTGATTGGCTGTCGCGCGAACTTCCGCCGCGCGGCAAGCATTACCGCGTCCTATGTGCAGGAGCCATAAGGCCATATAGAGCGGTAAAGAGGGAACTTATTAGCTTTCTTATCGACCATATATTCACATCTACTTTTAAAATCTAGCTATGATCCATTTTATTCATTATGTAAACCTGCAATACTTCATTATATAAAGAGGAATAATATGCCCGTTGAATAATATGCTCTTTATTACTCAAAACGGGAATGTAATTGGTTCCGCCATTTTGCTTCAAAACAGCTTGGAGCCAATGGGTGCTTTTCTATTGCATTATCCCTAAACACTTTAATGCACACGGCGACACAAATTGCATTCCAATTGTCGTAAACGTCGACACAGCATTACACATCCGCACTCAGTTCGAGAACTACTAGTCGGCTGTGTAAACTAGTATTTTCTAATGACAATTAAAGTTAATAAGCGTAGCGGCTTGAAAAGAGACTGGCCTTTGCGACGTGAAGTGGATAATATCTTTTTTATTATTTAGATTTTATTATTTATTATTAAAAAATATCAAAGTATAAGCATAGTTGAAAAATAAGGGAGCGGTGCACTTGGACACGGTGCATTTGGACACAGCCAATCACAGCACCGTGTGATTAGAGACATTTGTAGAGTCCCTTGGAACAGCGACTTGTGATTGGACTGTGTCCAATTGCCCCGTATCCAACTGATATACACCCGAAAAATAATCCTAACCCTATCCGACATACGTACACATTAGTACACTCTTCATTCCAATTGAATTGTGTACAACGTTACACTTTGTGCATTTCTGTGTATATATAGGTTTGTTCGAGTTGCTTGTACTATTCACACTTTTACACCTAATGCCCGTTGCACACTAGTGCACCTCATACAATACAAATTTTCCAAAATAGTTCTGAAAACGCTTTTAGGAGGGAGAGATGTTATCAGAATATTTTTAGGACGTCCTTTGAAAATGTGAGCTGTCTGAAAATAGCTAATATGCAATAAGTTTATTCGCATTAATTGAACTTTTTACACTTTCACACTTAGTGCACATTAATTCTGTAGAGGTTCTAAAAATGACGCCATGAGTTTCATTCGTGTTGGTTAAACTACATTTTCCCAAAAAGTAGAGGGGATAATATTGGTACGAACAAAAACCTCTAGACGATATAATTTTAATTTCTGTACATTAATAACACTGTTTAAGTAGTGAGTCTGTTAGTTTGCGAAACCTTTTTGACAGATATGGAAGAGTGTAAACAAGAAATATCGAAGAATTGTAATTCTTTATAAATATTAATATAAAAAACATAATGGAGCATAAAATAAAAATAAAATTATATTAAAATGATGTAAATAAGTGGAAACGTGAAGCGCATGGAGACAAACAAGATAAAAAAATAATTTTTATGAATATGTGAATATAAATGTATTTATAAATTAATAGATTATTATTATATACAATTGTATAATTTTAATGTTTCAGTTTTGATACATTAAAATTATACAATTGTATATAATATCATTATATCATTCATGATATCATTCATGTTTGTGGCATAATTCTTTGCAATAAAATTATTTTGGCAACATCGTTAAATATGGAATGAAGTCTGTGTAAGATTAAAGACAAGTTTACATAAATTTACACAAGGAAAATAGCAGAATAAATAAATGGATGATAAACAAATATCAGATAAGTAGTTAAAAAAAAATATATATATACAGGGTGTTCAAAAAGTCCCGGACCGGTGAAATATCTCGAAAACTAAGCATTTTAGAAAAAAATGTTTCAGATAAAAGTTGTGGCGTTTAAAAAGATGTATTTACTGATCACATCAGTTTGACCTTGGGTTGCGTAGCGAAGGTCAGGTCAAGGTCACATTAATTTTTTTAAATGGAACACCCCATTTTTCATTGCATATTCTTATAGCACATCTCGA